TAGTTCATATGGTGGTTTGTAAAACAAAATAGTTTATATGGTGATGCGCCAAAACCGTGATAGTTCGGATGGGAAAAAATATTTTACCCAAGATTTTGAGTTTTGACATATAAATATACATAAAAATAACAAAAATTGTTTTGCATATAAAATTTGTATATCAAAGTGTTAAAAGAATTACATCTCACAATAAATATTTACTATATCAATACATTTAAATAATTTTTATTTTGTATAAAAAAAATAAAAAAAAAATATATAAGAACCGGGTCAACCGGGTTGACCCTGTCGGGTCAATTTCCCGAGTCGACCGGTTCAAGGCCGAGTTGGTCGGATTTAACCGGGTTCATTGTTAGCCGGTCCAAATAGCCTATTCAGACCAGTTTTGACTCCTGATCAGCTGAAACCCGGGTTGATCCGCTGGGCCGATCCGAGTTTGAAAAACAGTGCATGGAAGTACTATTAAGTTGTTTTACTTTTTAGTTGGAGTGAAAAGTGCCATCAGATCCAGAATATTCCTCGACACTTCACTGTAAACTTTATTTACCATTTGATTAATCAAATTTGACGGAACTCATATTATATTCATTCAATTTCTTATCCAACTAAAAGTGTTGTTCCAACTTAACTCTTCGGTAGCACAATAGCATTTGGCCAGTAAATTGTTATTCATTTTTATTTTTATCTTTTGTAATTATAAATGCAATTGAGAGCACCACGTGCATGGTCAGTGCGGGAGGACTATTCCGGAATGAACTTGGTCGATGGGTCCAAGGGTTCCTCATGAACATTGGAATTTGCGCTATTACGAGAGCTGAACTTTGGGGCCCTCTTTCAGAGGGCTGCAGCTAGCATTGGATATGAGTTTCCGTCAAGTTATAACCGAAACTAGTCAGTGTGTAACGAGAATGGCCACTGGCCTGCGCTCAACCATGGGGTTCATGATTCTCTCGTCAAGGCCATTCGGAACTTATACAGAGGGACTGGACTGTTAGGATCAATCATGTTCATAGAGAAGTCAATTTCGCGACTGACCATATGGCAAGAACGGCTTCTTCGCTCGGGTTGCAGCTGCTTTCCTCCCCCCGTTAGATTTGCGTGGATTGTTGGACTATGATGTTATTAGGGTGTCTTACTTCCGTCGAATTTTAACCTAGCTCTTTAGGCCTACAACCACCTTTATTGTACTGAGAAAAAAAAAAGAGTCAAATTAAGCTGTTCACAAACATTTCGTATTCACAACTAATTCACCTAATATGTTGGATTTATTGAACGACTCGAACTAAATTGAGCAGAGCTTTCTCGAGCCAAACTTATTTATTTATTTTTTGAATGAGCACAAGTTCAAAAATCAAACATATAGGGTGTGTTTGTATATTTAAAAACTCAAATTCATACTTAAAATAATCCTCCCTATATATAATTCACGAATGCGCTGAGCCTACGTGGCTACTTCTGGTGCTTCAGAATCTTATTTGGCGAAGAATCATGCTTCGTAATTAGGTTTGGATAAATAATATTGATATATTAATAATTAATAATCTAGGTTCAGGTATTCCATAAATATTATTTAGCTAACTTAGGTATTTTAATATCACTTTTATTAATATAACCCTTTAATTCTTTGTAATTTTACATAGTGAGACACTAAGTGACTAATATATCCCTGAATTTTAATTTGTTTCCTTCAATAAGCTATTGAATTATAAATGTATTTTAAAAGTTGATAACTTTTGTATTTCTTATCGGTTTTATATATATAATATATCAAATTAATCATCTTTTGATGATCTTCGATTTGACATGCATAATGTATATATGAAATAAATAAATTATATTTATCTTTATAATAATAAAAAATAATATTTATTAAAATTCATTAGAAAAATAAAATTGTTTCTCAATTGATATATTTATATGTAATGTAGTTATATATTGTAAGTTAAAAAAAAATTAGTATAATATAACACAATTAAGTTGCACAAATAAAAAATGTCATAATATATATATAATAATATATATATTCTTATAAAAAGTATTTAAATTTTCAAACTACTTTTTCTCATTAATTTTAGATTTTAAGAAAAAAAATTAGCAAGCACCCGTGTAATACACGGGTATTGTACTAGTTTAACACTAAACTTTAACACAACTTCACTATCTTCACTATTATCATATCATTATAAATATCAACCAATCATTTTGACACATTATATCAATTTTAATTTCAAATTTATCTGCTCAAATAATTTTTAATACTTTACACCATCTATCCTACACTTTTGCATCAAATCAATTTAAATTATTTTATTTTTTTATAAAATCACACTAACAGTTAATTATACTATTTTTTTAAATTAATTCTGATTAACTAATAAAATTAACTCTGATTAACCTAAAAAAACTTAATTTGGGTGGATTTATATGTATACAACACTCTCTTAAAATAGCAGAGTCAAAATACCCAAAGAATAGATACTTTTTTTGACCGTATTTATTGAGATACTTTTTTTTTTTTTTTCTACATAAAATATAATAAATAAATGTATAAATGAAAAGAATCTCTTCACGCGGTTTCATTTCACACACACTCTTTCTTCACAAATACTCGCTAACGCGTTTTCTTATCTGGCCTCTCTCTCTCTCTCTCTCACATACTGTATCAATTTTTTTTTTGTTGGTACAGGGACCTTCCGGTTTCCGGATCCACAGGGGAACCGACTAATCCGGAATCGAGCCGGGTAGGACCACAAGGGCGGCAAAGCTCTCCCTCAAAAGTTTTAATAAAAATGCACTTGTCAATTAAAAATTGGAAATTGGGATGTAATATTATTTCATTTTTTTTTTTTTAAAAAAAAAGCAACAATAAGATTATTATTATTATTTTTTTAATTTGGCTTCTAATTGTGTTCGATTCGCCAAAAAAAAAAAACATTGGCTTGGTTAAAATTAGGCTGCATAATATTATTGTCGGTTCGATTTTCCAATAATTTTAATGGAAAAATGCAATTTTGGTCAATTATTATTGTTTATATATTTTTCCACAAACATATTGGGGAATATTGCAATCTTATTATGTGACAAAATTATCTAAAAAAGCCCACCAAAACCTTATAAATTAAAAATTTAATGATTCCAAACACAAAACATTCGATAAAATTGAAGAGTTTTTGTAAGCTACATAATAGACGAACAAAATAAAAAACGTATTCACTAATTTTTGCGCAAGAAGTATGTAGTTTAATTTGAAATCGATGGTTGTGCATTCGTGTTGTCTGTTAGCTATAATTTCAACGCTAGACTCTCAATAATCTAGATGTCCGAATACTTAATTGAAAATACCATTTGGAACTATATAGAACAAATATTTTTTAAATATAACATTTGAAAATATTTGGCAATCGAATATTTGATAAGGCACTAGGGAGCGAAGTACGCGGTTATAAATTTCTTGACGACGATTATATGACTATGATGAAGTAAAAAAAGTTGTTACATTAATGTCTAATCTTGATTTGATATATGACGAAGAAATGACCATTGATTAAGTTTGAAATAAACATAAAAATTATTTTACAAAAAAATTGAAATAATAATAATCATAGTAATTGTTTGGACAAATATTTTGACTCACACAAACAATATGTTTCCAATACTTACTAGAAAAAGTAAAAGGAAAGTGAAGTACCATCAAGAAAAGGGAAGGTACAATCACATCAGTGCAGAGAAACAGACAGCATACAGCTCAAGCATGAGTTGGATTGCACACACTAACACACACACACACACACTTCTCTCTTGTTTCTCTCTCTACATATACATACACACAGCTGTCTCTATTTTTATACATACAGCTTTTATTACAATCACCTAACTCCGGTGGGGACAAGACAACTTCCAAGCTATCATTTTTTTTTGCCCCAACACTCTCTCTCTCTCTCACACACACACACACACAAACACACAAAACTCTGTTTTTTCTTCACACTCTCTCTCTCTCTCTCTGGTTTTGTTTATTTGGTTTGGTACGTGAATTATGAACAATCATATAAGAAAAATCCCAAGTCTACCAACCTTTTATTATCTCTCTCTCTCTCATACCTCTCTCTCTCCTCCTCTCTCTCTCTCTCTCTCTATCTCTCTCTATCACATCACAAACACTACACAAAAAGTCCATGAGAGAGAAAGTGACTTGTCCAGCCAGATTACAGAGCACCGTTAGCTTGTAAAGAAAACTACTATATATATATATATATATTTAATTGATTAATTAATTCTCTGTTTTGGCATTCATCAACATTTATTTATTTTTTTTTTTCAAGAAACTGCTACACCCTTTTGGATTTCCCCTTTTCATATTATTGCCAATTATTTCATTTTTATTTTTATTTTTTTAAATTTATATCTTTTTTTTTTTTGGCTTTTTGAGACGCGTCCATATCCCAATGCGGGGTTTATGGTGTTCTGTAATGGCTTTGGCTTTATACTCGGTGCCGCTGGTCGATTCAAAGCGCTAAAGTTGCCTTTTTTATTTCATTTTATTTCTTCTCATCACCCATTTTATTCGGGTTTGGGTTTGAATCTTGAGGAGTAAGCGCATTTGGGAGCTAAATCTCAAGTGGGCTCGAGTGCAATTACGAGATTTTTGCGGCCCTTCCATTGTATTTTCGATTTGGGTTTTGAGTCTTGAGGTGGGTTGCGCGTGTTCGATTTGGGATTTTCCGCAGAAATTAAGCGCATTTGGGGACTGAATCTCAAGTGGGTTTGAGTCTTGAGGTGGGTTGCGCGTGTTCGATTTGGGATTTTTGCGCAGAGATTAAGCTCATTTGGGACTGAATCTCAAGTGGGCTCGAGTGTAATTTCGAGATTTCGCGGCCCTTCCCCTGCAAATATCGCCGGCTGCTGAGGTTGAGCCGGGAACGGAGGCCTTACGTGCATTGGCCGCCGTGTTTTTTTCCACATTGAGGGGTTTTTTTAAGGGTATTTGTTGGGGGGGATTAATGGCGATGAATACTGGAGGGAGGCTCGTTGCAGGATCTCACAATAGGAATGAATTTGTGCTTATTAATGCCGATGAAATTGGAAGGGTGAGTTTCTCTTC